CATGCATACATACGTACGCACATACATACATACATACATAAATACGTAACTGATAGATGCAGCCCATTCCTAACACCAATGCTTGGTGTTAAACGCAGCATGGTTCAGACTCTTAAGCAAGTATATAGCTGATATAGCTCTTGTGTATAAGAAGTTCGGTGCAATGTTCGACCGACACATGCAAAATTTGTCAGAAAAGGACCCGAGCTTTTTGAAATTCATAGCACATGCAACATGCATTCAACCACCACGCCCATGAATCTTGCCAGACGAATTCGCAGCGTTGGACCTGCTAGCTACTGACGCAGCGAAATACTGAAATACCAAACCATTAAGCTAGTCAGCTTGGCCCTATGAATGGTGAGAGGCCGTAGCCACTAAGCCACTGGTTCTCATCGTTAGACGTGAAAAGCAACATACCGTTAAAGTCTGACAACGTTTGATGCTCTGCAAACTGCGGGGTGACGGCCACGAAACCATTGAACAGTTACGGGGTCAAGCCGACGCCGATGAAGCATTGATTGAACCCGAGAGCGAGTCATCTTGGCCTTTCTCAGATGGCGTGGGGGATCAACACCAAATCACCAAACTATCAAACTGAATCAAACTAATAAACCTTTGCACCGACCGATGTGGCCTCATGACGGGCTTGGGACCCATAACCACTCAGGCTACTGAGGCATCATAAAATTATAGTCCGACAAACTGTGAATTTGCCCAAGCGGCTTGAGAGAGGATTGGTTTGGGGCCCTGTATCCTGATTATCCATCAACGAATTACATGCTTACACCGTGTACAACCTATTAACCCATCGCCGTGATCCTACAATACAATGTGCTGTGCCTCATAGCCAAACCACCAATACAGTGCACGGTGCACCACTAGTCGCTTGTCCTATTGGTTTGACTAGGCCCATGATCGAGACCCTAATCAATCCTAGGGTGAAACGGGCAGTTAGAACGCAGCATATGGGCTTGTTTCGAAACAAGCCTCGATGGAAAATGACGCACAATCTGAGATAAATATAGGAAAACGGAGAGGTCGCTTTTGTGTAAGCCTTGTGTACACGGTGGGGGCACATGTGCTTGTCCCTCGCCGCAGGATGTAAACCCCGTAAAGTTTTAGCTTGGGTATTTACAGGGGTCGGATGGTCGTAGGGCGTTGGCTTAGTCTCCAAGTTTCTTCATCCCTCCTCCGCCCCAGGATTCGTGGCGCGAAATGTAAGCGACTTTCTATGATGCTCTAGCTTGCTGGTTTCACGTTGAAGTCAACCTGGAGATACCTGGAGATCAACGTCTGCCTTCTTGGGATGGGCACAGTATGCATGCCACACATACACGTGCATGTACATACACGACCTACATATGTCTCTAGGTACACTGATACACATACATACGCGTATATATATATATATATATATGCACACATATGTATGTATGTGTTTGTGTGTATGTGTATACAGATGCGTATACACACATATACACATAGGCATATAGATAGATAGATAGATAGATAGATAGATAGACAGATGTGTCAGTGTGTGAGCATGTATGTTTGTGTTTGTCTCTACACCTGCACACACACGGGCTCGTATCCGAAAGCATGGAGAATATACGTCATGCACACATTCAGAGTGAGCATCTTCGCAGCCTTGGCGGAGGATCGACAAGTGGAACCAGATGGCGACTGCCAATGGCCTCTGGGATTGGCTGCTCCAAGTGGACGATCTTTGACTGCAAGCCACTGCAAGTGTAGGCTCGGACGTGCGGCCTTCCTTGGCAGCTCGCGAGGATGTCATTGCTGGTGTGAACGGCCGACACAATTTCACTCCTTCCAGCTGCGAGGCCTGCTGCGTGCAGTAGGAATGGACTCCGCTTCCGGCGGCAGGCTTTGCACGCAAACCGCAAAGCCAGCAAACAAGACTGGCCGGAGTGAGCGGGCACTGCCGCGTGGCTGGCCTCCCACAGGCCCCCTATGGACATCAGGCTTCCGGGCTCTGCCTCCTGCAAGCCCATGATCAAAAAGACATGTCAAGCAAGTCTGTGTTTCGCCTGATGACGAGGTGCAAACCGTGCCCAAGCAGCAGTTATGAGTGGTCAGGATGCTGAGACTGCATGTTCAGGCTGCAGGTCGGGATAGGGCTTTGCTACTGTACTGTTCTGCAGTCGAGAGAGCGAATGTGCTCAGGCTAGCATGCTGAACTTGCTCATCATCCGTGGAAGCTTCTGCAGCAGTTTGAGAAGGGTTACAGGTGCCAGGACTTACCAATAATCATGATGCCAAGTAGTGGTGTTAAGGAGATCTATCCAGCAGGCATGCCAGCATGATGGCGGTGCGATGGTCCTGTTTATAATGTAGACTTTCTGGTGTGCCCAATTTTCCACTCGGGCTTGGGAGTGATGCGCGCATGTGATTGCAGAGAACCGCCTGCGAGCCAAGGATTGCCCTTCCCAGGCGTTGACCTGTAGCGGTTGGATGCGTGCCGAGAGCGTAAAAGGAGCGTGCCTTCTTGCACGGTCCCGAATAGTCTCAGTTTCTCAAGCTCACCAGCTGCCAATGAGGCATCTCACGCAAGTAAACACACCATCGCACGTGCGAGAAGACGAAGCTGTGAAGCCACTGCTGAGGTTCGCCCAGAGTCGCTTCGGATTTTTCACCGGCGAGCTGCACGACGGTGCTGCCGTGCTGGAGGAGGCTCATGCCAGGTAACTTCAAGAAAAGGTGTCCAGCATGCCTGTAATCTGTGAATCAAACCAATGCTCAGCTTGGGCTTAGCTGACGTGCTGTGACGTGCTCAGCCTTGCCAGTTTCACAGAGGCCGATGCTTTCGCCCAGAATGACACAGTTTTGGGGAGCGCAGCATGGCGCCGAGCCTTCTTCCGGTTGGCCCTAATTCCATAATGTGTTCGGTGTTGAAATCAACAGAAATCTCCGGCTGCGCGAGAGGTCTGGTGCCCTAACACTGGATCATGTAGCTTCCTCGTCAAGACCGAGAATCAGGACCGACGAGCCCACCCATGTATTTCCAAGACGCCGAATTCCAAATAGGCTCCAGCTCGAGAAGTGATCTGGAATCTGGACCGAGCAACCGAGCAGGCTATTTCCTCGTGTTCAGGCACATGTCACAGAGTCGAAAGCTTTCCAGCAGAAGACCTCAGACAAAACATTGCTAACGGCCACGAAACGTTGCAGACAAATCAGGACCGAGATTTGGCTGAGTTTGACGTCTTCAGGCTCGATTCAGGCTGACTGGAGCATCAATTGGACTTCTCGGTGTTGCTTCGATCGACTTGCAGCCCAAGTCAAAGTTGTGCAGTTGTACAACATTCAACCATTGTCGCGCAGGGGCTCAGTCACAGAAAGCTGCTCGGGAAAGCTTGGATCATTCCGCCGGCCAGCCTTCCAAAGTCCGTCTTCCTGCCAGGCCGGACTTTGCTGTGTTTGACGGATGGCTTGTTTGTGCTGTGAAGTACGACGTATTCCAAGGATGATCTCTTGTGCTTCTCGTTTACAAATCTCATGCTCACAAATGTTCACAGCTTTCAGCCCTTTCTGGAACAGTGGAGCTGTCTTCTAAGCGAGATGGCATGCGAATTAGCACAGAGTTGTGCGACGGTGTCTTCATGGATTGGAATTGCAGGGTATCCGCCGCACAGTGGCCTCTTTGTCTTGCAAGGGATGCTCTGCATGTGCATGCTTTTCGTCGGTAGTTCGACGTCCGGTCTGCTAAGGGTCGGCTTTAGTGGGACGAATCCTCCATACATACACGAGCAATCTTGGCCCCATCCGACCCTGTTTGGCATCCCAGCTGGCGCCGGCTGGCCGTACATCAGCCCGCTGGCAATGCTACAGGCGCTGTTTGCACGGTCAGTGCTCCAGAAGTCAGCATCTCCCTCCCTCCCTCGCTCGCGCTCTCTCTCTCTCTCTCTCTTGCTCTCCCTCTGTCCCTCTCCCTTTCCAACTCAACGATTTCGAAAGCATGGAGTCAGTCCTCGCTGGAGGCCGGGATCAGCTTCACATCGTGGGATGGGATGGCTTGGAGGTGAGGACTGAATCTGGAAAAACTTGGTTGCCGACGAGTTTGTGAAGTCATGGCTTGCCCTTAGAGCTTGTAGCTCTGATGTGGCATGAAACCTGCAGGTCTTTTTTGCATCCGTGCGGCACGGTGATGTGAGAGCAAAGCCAAGGCACCTGCGAGTCACACGGCGGATACTTGTATGGAAGAAGCTTGCTGGTCGAAGCAGGTTCGTCTTGCGTCCCGAGCGCATGTGCCCCGAGCTGAGACTGTGCGTAGGTCTGCTATGGTTGTATAGTTGTGCATGCGACTGTGGATCGGGGCGAATCGGGCCAAGCCGCCCAAGCCCAAGCAAGTGTTACAAGCGAGGTCAAAGCAGTCTCACGCGGTGGCCCAAGGCGATCCGCACTGGGAATCTGGCAGATTCTGGGAGTGTACGTTCCCGTCTTCGGGAGGCGAGCTCCCGTATCTCCCGTGCCAGGTCTCCGCCTTGTTGGGTAGACACTGCGCTCCTGGGCCCGACGCACTGGCCAAGTTTCGCACTGCTTTTCGAGTTGTTGCTCTTCCGATCGCCAGCTGCCACTGTGGTTGTAGCTCAGCACTTGCTCGTGCCAGCTTTGCGATGGGCTGCATGAGCTGTAGTCTGGTTGTAGGAGCATGGTCCATAGCTGCATTGTGTAGTGCATAATTCAACTCGAAGGATACGAAACGTTAAGTTGCATAATATGGTAGCAGGGTGGTATCGGAGAGAGCATGGCGTCACAATCTAAACCATCGCACTCCTGTACGTGGTGGCAGGAAAACTACACGGATGTGCAGGCCAGCTGGAGACGTTGGCATGCAACCAGAGGAGGTCCTGAGCTTTCAACATAAGCCCCTCATTGCATTCGACAGTTGACATCGGGGGCGCTCAGTTCGCTTTGGTCGCTCTCCAAATGAAACGAAAGAGCGAATTCGGAATTCGGGATGCAACTTGGCCCTGCAGGCCTTGCAGTTTGCCGCTGACGGCAGTTTGCTCCTCGTTCGGATCTCAGCACCTCGAAGGGACTTACCGCCTGAGCGCTACGAAACTGGACGTCGAACCTAGCAGTGGCACTGAGTGTCTCTGTGCTCTCGGCAAACCGTAAAGCTCCGGCTGATGCGCATGATGGTGGTCATCTGGGGCACGATCAAAAACGTCTCGGTGAACAAGCACGTCCTCTGACTTGAACCCGCGCGTATGAGGTCCTTCATGGCAAGGGTTTCTTGGACGCTTGGCGACCAATGTCTGGAGAACTGCTCGGGCGATGGCACCTGTGCCTGGGCACAACTTGGAAGGCTTGTGATGCTTGTTTGCGGCTTCGAGGTGGTATCGGGAAGTGTCTGCTAGGCGCCGTTCTGTTGGCCACAGGCTGATTCAATGGCGGAGACTTCAAACTCAGGTCAGAGGCTCCCGGTTCCTCTGTTGTCAAAATTTTCTTCTGAGGAGTGTTGAGCCAAGGCAACGGCCTTCAGGAGGCTTTGCCGCCTCCTTCTGCGTCCAGGCTTTGTGGGAAGGATTCCAAAAGCGTAGAATCTTAGCATTTTTAATTTTGGTCACTACAAGGCTATTCTTGAGCTGGCGGTCTCTACATTGTGGTTTGTTCTTCTGGGTCCGTCTCCTAGCTAGGCAGCAGCAAAGCCTGCAGCTCGTGCGGCTAGACAAATCTGGGGGAGGTTTCGCGAGTCTTTTACTGAGGCACCTCTTGGTGACTGACATCGGCATGAATTCCTCTAGAGATGGTTCAGCGTGTAGCCGTGGCCAGTACTTCTCCTGTGCAGTCACGTTAAACTGCAGGCAGCCAGCAGACACATCATCGTCGCCTGGCAGATGCAAAGGCCACATGCCTGGTCAGAGCATGGAAGAGCCCAACGTCTCAGAGCTTAGATACCCACAAACGGAGTGCCAGGGCAGCACCTCAACTGGAGGCACAGTGGCTTCTTTGAAGATGCACAGCGGTGTGGTCAGAGTGAGGAGTCTTGGGCCGTGTCGCGGCGACGCAGGCTCTCGCACTTCCTCACCGTCTGGACTCTGGCTGTGAGGACTGACTCATGGTGAGAGCCACAACTGAGCTCCCGGCGGAGGTTGCCCTGCCTAAGCATCTCGAAGAAGCATGCCAAAAAGCATAGACGCCTTTGAGATGAACAGTCTTCCTTTTGAGGACTCCGGCGCGACGGATTCTTCGGATGTCGGCAAACTCATCATCTGAGCTGGCGGGGGGTGAGAAATCCGATGCCATGGGCCATGGGCCTGCCATCACAACAAGTCCTATCCGTCATGGCTTCACATTGCCTTCGCAGCACATCGGGACGAAGTTCCTCGACGTGGTGTAAGCCCGTCGGGCGCTGGAGTCGGGGGATGGTAGTGACATGTAGTGACTCGAGAATGTTCGTCGGTACCACCGGATCTCAGGAGCTAGCAGATAGCCCGGTCTCACCTGCCTTCTGCAGTGCCCGAACACACGAACGGCAGAAATCGATTCAAAACTAGACTTGCTGCGTATCTAGGCTGAGCTTCTCAGCGGGTCGCGTTCTGCAGGCGTTGATTGCCAGCGGGCACGTGGGGAGCCCCTACACTTTGATGCCGGAAGCCGAGGGGCGGTCAGGCGGTCCTGGAGCTTGAGGCATTGCGGACGCTCTTTACTCGAATGAGTTGACTTACCGAGGTTGAGGGCACTACGCTGACGCTTCTCCCGGGAGACTACTCGCGTCAGGTGACGGCATGGGAGGATGCGGTGTGCAGGGCCGCAGGGCGATGCTCTCGACTTGAATCTGCTAGGCTGTTCATGCCGAAGTTTGGCACTCAGCTGTTCTGGTCCGATTTGAAGCATTCCGAGGGCGAGTTGGGGAGACTGGATGTTGTGCTCAGCAGAGGTTTAGCCAGGCATGCTCGAGTTCACCAGATGGAGCACACTTCTGACGACGTGTGTGCAATATTTTCTCATGCAGAAGCTGTTATCTTACTGTTTGTCAGCTTTCGGACTTAATAGTGGCATTTTCAAGTCTCGTCAGTGGAGACACGACGACACTCCAGAACGAAACTCTTCTCAAACTTAAGCAAGCGGAAGAGAAGAAGCACAGAGGAAGCAAGCCAAATCAACAAGTTGCTGGAGTTCCGGTCTGTAGCGGCCAAGTCGATCATGTAAGTTGCCACTTGCACTCCCGACGTGGTCCGTGGATCACAACTGAACACGAGGTGTTGAGTGTTGTGTAGACAGCGCACTGTAGGAGTCTGCAGGAATTATCTTAGTGAAGAAAAGCGCCATCCGAGGATCTCCACGAGAGCAGCTTCGATGAGCTTGCAACTCACATTGCTCTCCCTGAAGCCAAGCATGGGGCCCTGCATCCTTGCTTCGCTGCTCGGCAGCCTCAAGGCCGAAGCAGGATGAGGCGAGCAGCCCTCCAGAGAAGGCTGGGCTCTCCTTGAAGCAACATGCCAGGATATGCCAGGATGGAATGACGGCTTCGACGACCTTCGACCGTGCTGTCTAGAGAGGGCTTCGATGTTCTGGAGAGCGATGTCATGTGCTCACACAGGCTGCGGCCCCAAGTGCCAACAGTACTCGGCCAACTTGCCTGTGCCCTGGAGTAGGATATGCTTCGGCAACAAGAGCATGTATGCATGTGTGTACACTTTTGCATGCTATCCCAGACCACTCCACCCGACTTGCTCTAAGCGCGACTCTCTCCTGATATATATGGCGCATTATGGCGGGTGTTCTGCACATATACGTGACCACAGGCAGCCAAGCAACACTATGTTTTCCGCATGCGGTAGATGCAAAATGTAAGCGGTGACATGTGCAATGGTTTTTCTTGAAGAACATGGGTGAAACCAGCTCTGCATGTGCGTGATGGTATCTACGAGGTAGGTATGTGTGTACATAGGTATGTATGTCATCATTGTACATATGTATATATGGTAGTCGATCAACAGCTCCTTGAGCCATAGTTTATTATATGAAAGGCCAACTGCATAGCTAAACAGGCCACGCGATGGTAGCAGGAAGTACACGGTTCCATTCGGTTCGTTTCTGTCCCTAAAGGGAGCGTTTCTCAGCGGTTCGGTTCAGTTGCGATTCGGTTCTGCACGGTTCTCTCTCGACCTGGTCCTGCCGGAGTTGGACCCTTCGAGAAGGACAGACGGGTGCAGCTGTTTCCGTTGCACGCCGCCGCCGCCGCCCACCTCCAGCCACCCCAACCACTCATTACCAGCCGCCTCCTTCCAACCATCCTCCAGCCACCAAGCCTCCACTCACCTGCCCCCAGTTCTGTACAAGGCAGTGCTGCGATGTCAAAAGCATAGGGGCATGGCATGAGCTGGGTTACAAGGCAAAAGCTATTCAGCTATTCGCCCTGATGCTACTTTTGAGCCGGCTCGATTGTTCAAGTTCGAGGTCTGAATAGCACTTCAACTAGAAAGTTTCAATTCTGCGGACCCAGTGGCGAAATTCAGATCATTGAACCTTGCGGGGTCTAGCGTGCCACGTTATAGGGATTTGATTTGATGCTTAGGATCTAGGGTCGCGTTTGCCAAGCTTGGCGCCACTCTTTTTCGAGAGCTCATGAGGTGAGCATGTCGTGCGGTTTCTAATTACCTCTCGCTGACTCTTGCTGCTTGAACCTATGCGGTTGTTCCTTTCGGCGGTTTGCACATGCTTGGCCATGCAACCACACCAGGCACTGGACATGGTGCTTGAGCGCTTGCATCAACTTGTAATCGAGCCAGACTTGCGCACTGTTTCGGCGCGGTGCGCGACACTGCACCAGCAGAAGCTGCCACCGAGCTTGCGCAAGCAGCAGCAACTTGGTGTGCGTTGGTGCTGCCAACATCTTCTGAACGACGCGCCAGGAGCAATGCTGGCTGACAGTCCGGGGCTGGGCCAGGCAGTCTTGTCTTATGGATGACCTCCAGGATGCTGCGGAAGAATACCCCTCATAAGCAAAGATATACAATGTTTGTAATATATAGAATAAGAGAACAAGTTTCTCAAGATACCATCATGATAGTACAAGCGTAGAATATGTTTATGTGATAAGACATGATAGAACAACATGTTGCAGGAAATTCTTGGGGTGCAGTGCTTTGTGCTCGCTCCGAAGAGCGTGGTGCAAGGCGGGGGTGGCTGGCTGGACGCTAACTCTGAATTTTGCGGCCAATGTCTTTTTGTTTCCTTCAATCCTTGCAAAGTCTGACCAGGTAGCAACTGCACAAACGAGGCATGAACAAGACTGAGTTGGAAACCTTTTTCGCGATGTGGGAGTTTTGGTCATCGGCGACGCACACGCCTAAATAAATTCGGACACAAAAGTGTCTCTCACTGTGGAATCGTGCCGGGTCTCCAGGCGGCTTTTCTTGACAGCCACCCCTGTTTCTAACGGTCTCGAGGACTAGGGACGGTTGCTGTCGCTGGCAATTCCACAGGCTCTTGATCTTGAGCACTGCGGCGACACAGACGCCAACATGGCATTGATCAAGCAGCTGCCTCTTGTCCCGTGAGGAGTCCGTGCAGCAGCGGCGCAACCAGAGTGTGCTTGCCAAGCAGCCCGACTGCAGTGTCAAGGCTCAAGTCAAGCATTCCGGCTACACGACCTTCAGCAAATCATGGCAGAACGTGCTTCAACAAAATGCAATACCTTCTGAGCCCCATCCGAACCCTGGACGAAGGTGACCATGTCGTTGTTGTCAGCAGTCGACTCTGCGCGTTGGACGGGACACAGAAGACAGCTTCTGAGGACAACAGGGCCGTCTTAAGACTACATGGCAGTACCGACGCAGGCTCTCGGATGCAAAGAATTCTGGTCTGGAGCGGCAACCCGATCTACAAGGTCTTAATACTTGCGAAAGATGCCGGCACGGCAGGCATTAGCTTAATTGCGGCGTACGAGCCCAGCTGGAATATTAGCAGTGATGAGCAGGCTTCCGGTCGCACATGGCCGGGCCAGATGCAGACGAGCCACGAACCAGTGCTATTTTGGAACGCTTTTTTCTTGAGCCTTGAGCCTTCTAACCTTAGAATCCTAAACCCGAGCATCTGGCCAGGCTTCGCAAGGTTTTCGAATATCCTGCGACACCAATGTGGCGAGCCATTGCACAGCATCTGTCAACGGCATAGTTTGGAAGGCTCCCTAAACGCAGCATTACAAGCGGCACCGGCTGCTGATGAGGTGTGCCAAGCCAAACTTGTAGCTGCTCCACCACAGGCTGCACCTGTGGTAAATGCTGCCTCATCTGTGCCGTGAGAGCCAACAAAAAAACACACATCTTTACAGAACTGGCGTGCGCAGCAACAATTGCCAGCTTGTTACCCTTCTGCTTCCGTGAGACTTGTGGCCCCGCGGCAAAGGTGTTTGGGGTTGTGTTCCCGCCGCTTTTTTTACCAAGGAAGCCAAAAAGGCGTTGAAAGACAATGAAAGACATTTTGATGCCAGGAGATCCCCAGATTTTCGATTGCATGCGTGACCTTGGAGTTGGCTGCACTCTGGGCAAAGTGAGGAGAATTCGCTGCCAAAGAACCAGACAGACCAAAGGCGCTCAGAGGAAGGCCAAACTTGCCAGGTTGAAGGTGCCCGTTGAGAGCTGTAGGCTTAGACTCTTCAGGGGAACGTTGAAGGCTGAAGGATTTTATCGAAAGGTTTCTGGTTGAAGGTGTATTTCCAGAATTTACGGGTGGAATGCTTTGATTGGGATGATTGCTTTTGAAGAACTTTTTTTCTGGCTTTCGGTGTTCCTGAACGGGCTACCTCACGCCTCGTGATTTGACTTGTGCAATGGCCAGTGAGAGCTAGACAAAGATGCTCAAGGAAGCAAGGCTGCAACCAGAGGTGGTTCAAGCGTTGCTAACGGCAGGATACCAAAAAGCAGGACACCTTCAACTTTCCCTTTGCAGACGTGTTCGATGGATTCGCGAAAGATTTTGTTCTCAACAATGGTGCCATTCACGGAGTCAAAGCGGAGAGTTGGAGTTTCCATCCGGTTGTTGTCGTGCTGCGTGGATTCTGGAAGCGCTGCCAAGCTCCGTGTGGGCCGGCCCAGTCAGACAAATCTGGCGCTGGCCTTTCCGTCGCTGGCTGGGATGGCGCCAGCCACGTCGTCCAGCAAGCCCGCTGTCGTGGATCGTGATCGCATGAGGCGAGAGCTGGAAAAGAAATATCCAGGCACTTATATCACACCATCCAACCTTCCCGCCACGTCGCTGCTCCACATCGTCTCAGAGCAAGCAGCGGCAAAGACATGGGAATGGTTCTCCTGGAAGAAGATCTTGAGTGACAAAGCAGCCACTGCAGTGCGAGGCCGCAAGAGTGATGGCCCAGGAATGCCTCGGCGGAGTATC